AAAAAAATCTATATCCAGATTCTTTGTAAAAAATCTATACAATCTATATCCAAATTCTTTGTAAAAAAATCTATAGAATCAATAAAAGAAATCTAAACAAATAAAATCTATACAATCTATGTACAATCTATAGATTGACGAAAATGAAAAGAGTGATCTTACCTGGAGAGCAGCAGTTTCGGAAGCGAGGGTATGGAAGAAGAAGAACAGGACTGGAGAGCAGCAGAGGGAAAATCTGAAAAGAAATCGTTTGTGAGATCAATTGGAAGCAAGAATGAGATATCTTAAATATGAAATGAATCACCAAGGACATTATTAGAACTGTGCACAGATGTCAACTCGTACTTGGATTAAATGATATGTTAGCAGGCAAAACTTTCGTTGTTATAAGCATTAGTGAGGCCTCATGCAACCACAATCATTTTCTTTTGATCAATGGTTATGAGTTACATGGTGAATGGTAGCCCCACATAAATCCACCCAATATGGATGTAGGCAAGACTTGTTACCACCACTGAGAGACCCTCCTTTATGGTCTTTGTTGGTATTATTGTCTTTTCTATTGCATTATTCACATAAAATTTGAATGGCATGCTTTATAAAATTTGAGGACATGTATCAGATGTGACTCTTTATGGTTTAAATTTTTGAAATCAATACAGGAAGAAGAACTAATCGTTTATGGAAGGTTGGAATACGAAAAAGGAAATGTGGAAGGTGCTCTTTCTGCATTTGATGGAATTGATCTTTCCAAATCTGAAATTTCAAATAAAAATATACTCACAAAGATAATATATATAAAAAATCTATACAATTTTTTGTAATGTTTGGAAAAAATCTACAAAAAATCTATATCCAGATTCTTTGTAAAAAATATATATATAAATGAAAAATCTATACAATCTATGTCCAAATAAAATCTATACAATCTATATCCAAATTCTTTGTAAAAACATCTATAGAATCTATAAAAAAAATCTAAACAAATAAAATCTATACAATCTAAATACAATCTATAGATTGACGAAAATGAAAAGAGTGATCTTACCTGGAGAGCAGCAGTTTCGAGAGCGAGGGCATGGAAGAAGAAGAACAGGAATGGAGAGCAGCAGAGAAAAAATCTAAAAAGAAATCGTTTGTGAGATCAATTGAAAGCAAGAACATAGTGATAGCACGAAATCGCGAGAAAGTAAAGTAAAAGCCCTAGATCGAATTCAACAGAGTGAACTATGATTGGAACTTGTGAAGCATAGTAGAGAGAGAAAGAGAGATAGAGAGGGGGGGAACTCAACGGGTCTCTTTTATGACAGAGTAATCTTACCTGGAGAGCAGCAGTTTCGGGAGCGAGGGTATAGAAGAAGAAGAATAGGGAGGCAGGGAGAGATAAAGAAGGAATGGGATGGGTGAGAACATAGAAGGGAGGAGATAAAGATAGACTAACAGAGTTATCTTGAAGATAAAATGGAGATGAGACGTGGGTGAGTAAGATTTAGTGTTTGGGTGGGAAGTAAATTGACACATATTTAAAGGGGCTCATCTCATCCGTCTATCTAAATACATAAGTGAATCATGACCATTAAAATGTCCTAGTAGGACAATTGTCTCTAGGATAAATTCAAAAACCTTTCTCCCTTATTATATAGATGATAATTATCTTTTTATTTTTTTATTTCTTTCACCAAATTATTTTTTATTTTTTAAATTTCTAAAACAAAAATCAAATCAAACCAAACCAAACATTGCATCTTGTCAACATTGTTGACAACTAACAACATGAATTTGACATAATCATTAAAAAACAAAAAATGCCTTGTAACTCGAAAAGTGAGGGATTTGAATGACTCAAATTGGTGTTTACCGAACGACTGAGTAAAACATTTGTCTATTGCGGTTGTCATCTTGTCGACCGCGGCTGTTAGCCTTTTCGCCGGAAGACTAGCCGGACAACAGAGAAGATCAATTTCGAGCCATTCGGATCAAGTTTAAATTCGAGCTACGCAGCAGTGTTAAAAAAATTCACAGCACTAATCTAAGATAAGAGATATTGATTAATTTGAAATCTAAGAGAATGTGAACCATATATTTACATGGACATGGATTTTTTTTTTTGGAGAGCAAGTTGTTTCCATAAGATAAAGGCCTCTTTTGGTAAAAAAGTTAAAAGCAATTTTGTTGGTTTTTTAACTTTTTAGATCATATTGCCTCTTTATTTTTTCACATATTTAAAAAAAAATTCAAAAAAATCAACTTTTAACCTATTTCCTAAAATAAGTCAAATTGTCATTCAACCAACTACAATTTAAACAATTAAACCCATAGGATTCACATATTAAAATGTGAATTTAAATTGGAAATGTTAACAATTAAATGGAGATGAAATACAAAAGAATTTAATAGTTCAAATAATTTGCTTCAGAACTGTTTATTAGAAAAGAACTGCTATGGCAGAGCGGGTAAGAGGTGCCTGTTAAGCACTTGGTCTGAAGTTTAAATCTCCAAGGTGCCGTTTGATAACAGTTATATTTTTAATTTTCAGTTTATATTTATAAAAATTTAAAAAATTTAAATAAAAACTTATTTTGTAAATTTTTGATTTATAAATTATGGTCTCAGTTTATAAATTTGACCAAAAAATATAAACTCAAAAAATGAGTTTATGTTTTGAGTTTTCAATTTTTTTTTTTTTTTACCACCCAACACTGACCACCACCCGTCACCATTTTCCACCACCGTCTTCTACCACTACCATCCACCACCCACCTCCCACCACCACTCACCACCCACCTGCCACCCATTTTCACCACAACCTGCCACCACCACCCACCACTCACTTGCCACCACCACCCACCCCTCCCCACCACCAGCACCCACTACCCACCACCCACCACCGTCACCCACCACCACCACCCCCCACCTGCCACCACCTTGATAAAAATAGTCATTTTTATTTCTGTTTTATTATTATTAGTTTTCAGCTTCTAAATTTCACGAAATAAATCCGCATAATCAATGAACTAAAATTTGGGATTGATCTTAATTTTGATTTGTTGTGCATTGACCTTTAAACTTCTCTATCTATTATTTGATCATTCAATTCTGTAATCTTAAGAATGATTAGTTTCAAATTAATAAAGAAAAATATACAAACTGCAATTCAAGAACTTCTAATTTCTTCTTTAATTTCAAAACTTTTATTATAATTTTTTTTCAATTATTTTTTTTTTCAATTATAATGTGTATGATTCCATTGTCATAAATAATAAAAAAATAAATATAAATATTTTAGGCCTATACAAACATATTTTTTAGTTTAATTATGTTTTTAAAAATTTTCAAACATTTTGTCTAAACTAAACGCGTTTGTAATTTATGTTTTTCTAAAAAATAAATAAAAAATAAATAAAAATCAGGTTATAAAATTTTTTATAAATATAAAATGAGAACGCAAATGTTATCAAACATGCCTTAAGTAACAATTTCAGACTATTTTTCCAAGGCATTAGAGTCTGATGACGTCAGCATGACATAAGGCTGATGTGGGGATGATGCCAGCATGACATAGGACTGATGCATGACGACGTCAGCCGACGGAGATGGACGGGGGTGCTAATTGTAATGCGGAACTAACCTCCGAATTTTCATTTAAATTAAAAAACACACAATTTTATAATTTTTTTTTGTAATTTAATAAAAATATTAATAATAAATAATATAATTATTTTATTCATTTTAATTTTTTTTTTTTGGATTCAGCGGAAAAGAAAAATTATTCATTTTAATCAAAAATTAAAAAAGAAAGCCACTTGAAAAATCAAAAAAATAACAAAAAAATTTATTAAAAAAATATTTATCAAATACATTTTTTAAAAACATAAATAAATAATTAAAAAATCAAACGAACTAAACGTTCGTGTGAAAAGAACTAATTTAGCCTAGTTTTTTGACTAATTTAGTCGGACTAAATTAGTTTTGTTTGAAAATAATTTTTAATTTTTTTTATTTAGATGTAATGATTATGAAGGAAAAAATAAAATAATTATAATTTAGATGTGACACTTTATCTTATTAATTAAATTAATTTATTTTATCTTTTGCTGTTTTTTTAAGGAGTCATTTGAGATGATTTAAATAAATATATTTTTATTTTATCTTTTGATGTTTATTTAAGGAGTTATTTGAGATAATCTAAATAAATATATTTTTGACTTTTTATTAAAAAATATATATAAAAAAAAATAGAAAAATAATCAGCTTGTTTGGTTTTGGTTTTCAAAAAACAATTTTCAGAAAATTTTACTTTTTTATTTTTTGTATTTTAATGTTTTCAATAAATTTTTTTAATATTTAAGTTTTTTTAAAAAAAAATTTTAGACACACTTAATATAAATACACTTAAAATGTATAATATTTGTGAAAAAAATCTTTAAAAAATTCACTATACACCAAAAAAGACAAAAAAAAAATGAAAATTTAGTACATTTTTCATATTTTTTTGTATTTATTAATTTTTTTACAAATATTTTACTATTTAGATATATCTAAATAATGTGCATTTAAAAAAATAAAAAAAAAATTCTTAAAATTAAAAAAATATTCACTAAAAATTAAAAAAATACAAAAAATAAAAAAATTTAATTTTTAAAAATTAAATTAAAAAAATTAAAATCAAACACATTAAATATAATTTAAAAAATATACTTATTTAATTTATGTTAAATAATACCTAGACATTTAAAATTCTTCCCAAACAAGCTCAAACTGACTAGCATCACATTCACATGGAAATTCGGTGAAACAGAGATTTTAAGTAGGCATGCTTTCCCTATTGATTAACAAATCGTACCTTCCACGTGAATTCTTCCAAAGTTGGTCAACCTCAAGTGCCACGTACCCTCACATACATATTGAACTCCAATCACGTGGCATTCATTCATTGGTCCACCGTTCACTCAGACCATTCACATTTACGAAAGCCCCCCACACTCTATAACAGCTCTTCACTACCTCCCTCTCTACACTCCACAGAGCTCAACCAACTCTCTTCAATGGCGTCTCTTCGCTTCTCTGCTCTAATTCTAGGGCTTTCTCTAGCATTTTCGCTAATCTCACCGTCACAGTCACTGACCTGTACGTCACAGAAGTTCACGAACAACAAGCTCTACGATCACTGCACCGATTTATCGCAATTGAGCTCGTACCTCCACTGGACCTACGATTCCTCCTCGTCTTCCCTCTCCATCGCCTTCGTGGCTGCTCCGTCGAAGTCCGGCGGCTGGATTGCGTGGGCCATAAACCCTACCGGAGCCGGAATGATCGGCGCACAGGCTCTGATCGCGTTCAAGGACTCGAACGGTTCGATGATCGTGAATACCTACAACATAAGCTCGTACAAGTCGATTGTGCAAGAGAAGCTTTCGTTTGATGTGATGGATATGAGTGCTGAGTACTCGGACGGGACGATCAGGATCTTCGCGACGGTGGCACTTCCGGATACGGCAGCGACGGCGGTGAACCAGGTGTGGCAGGTGGGGCCGTCGGTGACGAATGGTTTTCCGGACAAGCATGAGTTTCAACCGGCGAATTTGAACTCCAAAGGAACCCTAGATTTGTTGAAGAGACAGAGCAATGTTGTTTCGGGAGGGGACTCGAGGATTAATAAGAAAAATGTACGTTTCTTCTCTCTAACATACCAACATTTCAGAGTATAGACTAGTTTTTTGAAATTTTGAAACCCTCGTAAAAAAGTTAATCTGTTCTTTTAGAGTAACATTAGAAATCTTGAAAAAAATAATAAAACTCTATACACTAATCAAAGATCGAAATTTTTTTTCATGATGCTCAGTATTACTTTTTTGTCAAACTGAATTGAATGATTGATTTAACTGTAGAACATGTTTGTAATGCCTTTTCTGTGTTCGTTATATTTTTCAAGCAATTTATTGGGTGGTAATTGAAATTGATTATTGGTATTGTGTTAGATTCATGGAATTTTGAATGCTGTGAGTTGGGGAATCATGTTTCCAATCGGAGCCATCATCGCTAGATACTTGAAAACTTTCCAGTCCGCGCATCCTGCATGGTTTTATCTTCATGTAATCTGCCAGTTGTGTGCATATATTATTGGGGTTGCTGGTTGGGGAACTGGACTTAAGCTCGGAAGTGAATCGAAGGGGTTTCAATATATTGATCATCGTAACATTGGGATTGCACTCTTCTGTCTTGCAACTGTGCAGGTAATTTTCATTTTTGTCATTAAAATTCTTGTAGAAGTTGCGAACCAAACCCGTTGTGTGTTCATTGTCATTCATGCTATCTTGTGTATAGTTGGTCATTTCCTTTATCCTCAAGTATCCATGTTCATTTCTCTTGAACCCCTGTACTGAAATTTAAATTTAAACTGATACACAATTAGAATATGAGAAACTTGTGTCAAATTTTGCATTGTTGTAGAAATGAATATAAAATTGCATAAAATTGAGATATCACCTAACTTCTGTGAAATTTTATATTATGTCATTCATGTACTCGAGGCATCTTTGAGAAGCTCATGTCAAATTTTATAATGTCGTAGAAATGAAAAGAAAAAAAAAATTGCATAAAATTGAGATACCACCGAACTTTTGTTGAAATTTATATTTGTTTAAAAGAGAATCATTCATGTATTTGGTGCATCGTTGAGAAGCTTATGTCAATTTTTAAAATGTTGTAGAAATGAATAAAAATTGCTTAAAATCAAGATAACTTTACTTTTGTTAAGATGTATATTCATTTAAGAGACACTCCATCATTCATGTGGTTGACGCACCATTAGGTCCTATCATAGCTCAACAAGCAAGGGGATTTAACCCGATTTCTTGGGTTGGAACTTGGAATGCTTGTTGCTGGATATTATAATTTTATCATTTCCTTCATCATTTTTATCTGATAGTACATTTGTATGAATGCTAGCTGCTTTTCAAATGTTCACCTTTTGATGTGTTCTCTCTACATTGTTTTTCATATAGATTTTTGCGTTGTTCCTAAGACCAAAGAAGGATCACAAGCTTCGGTTTTACTGGAACATCTACCATCTTGGTATTGGGTATGCCATACTCATCCTTGGTATCTTCAATGTGTTCAAGGGGCTAAACATGTTGAATCCTGCAAAGAAGTGGAAATCAGCTTACCTACTTGTAATCGTTGTGTTGGGTCTTATTGCAATATTGTTGGAAGCGATTACATGGGTCATAGTTTTAAGAAGGAAGTCTAGCAAGTCCACCAGGCCCTACAATGGATACAACAATGGCCAAGACAGGCAACAGCCCCTTGCCTCGTGAGAGTCATGACAGAGTCTTGGATTCTGTAATCATCTTCCCTCCTTCCTCCGGCATTTTCAGATGTCACAATGTTTATTTTTATCTATAAGAGCGACGAACTTCTGTTTTTTTGTTCATCATTTGCATTATGTCTTGGTCATACTTCATACTTTTGGAATATCCTTTGTATATATACGTGGGGATTGATCGATTCCTGATTTGTATTCCTTTGCCTCTTGTGATCTTTGTGAGATCCAAATTTTCTTCTTTGGATTTGTTTTGGTTCTTTTAATTGCGGTTTGGGATTGTTCAAATTATGGACCTTTTTGATAGAACTTATAAATCAATTTATTTAATTAACTTATTTGTTACTTAAAAAAATATATATTGTTTAAACAAATTTATAATTTATTTTAAGGGTAAATTATATCTTTTGAGATTTTCTTAAAATATAAATTATCCCGTGTAATTTTAGAAATTATAAATCTTTCTTTGTCAAATTTTTTCATTTAACAGAAGTAATAAAAAAATAAAATTTCTTAATATTGTCTTATACAATAACAAAATTATCATAATTATTAATTGAAATATATTTTTGAAATCTTTAAAAATGGATAATTGACTTAATAATTTATCAATCAAATAGGTCATTTGTTGTACAATTAAAAATTTGAAAGGACAAAATGTAATTTCAAAAATTATAAAGAGTAATTTATATTTTAAGTAAATTTTAGAGATGTATTTATAATTTATCCGTTACTTTAATTCTTTGGCGTTAATAATTATAAAAATTAATTTATAGATGATATAAAATGGGCCCACCATAAGTTGCTTTAACATGTAAATATTTTTTACTTAAAGGAGAACCCATAAATATGAGTTTTGCATTAAAAGCATTTTTAACCCGTTGAAGCCTTGTTTGGAAATAGACTGTTTTAGTAATTTTTTGACTTTTTAGTTAAAATATGAGATAAAAAAATTAGTATATTTGAAATGATTTTGTAGTTTTTTATGAAAAAATGTGTAAAAAATGGAGAGAAAATGAAATCTTTGACTTTTTTATATAGGTTATATGCTTTTTGGTTTAGTAACTTTTTAACTTTTAAACTAAAATACTCGTATGCCAAACGAGAACTAAGTATATAATGATTGATAGTTAAAATGTCTAGTATGATTCATTTTTTTTAATTTCAATGCACAAGATATATGATTAGGCATTTTAGCTCAACTCACATTCACTAACTATATGTAATTAGCCTTCAAAGCTAAGTAAAATATATTTAATCGTTAGGATCATTTTCTTCCATCTTTATTGCTTATGCGATATTCTATAAAGTTAATAATATTTGGATGAATAGCTAAAATAAAGAATATGGTTGAAATTGAAACATGAAACAACTGATAGGCAAAATAAAATATATATTTTATAATAATGTTTAGATAGATAAAAGGCCTATTGATGTTGGAGATGCTCTAAGTTATCATGTCCTAACATAAATTTTTTTGGTTAAATTTTTTGTACATTATGCTAAAGGTAAGATGTGTACTCAATCTTTTCCCTCCCAAACACACATTAATGTATACTAATTGGGCGTTGTTTTTTTTTTTTTAAAATAATTAGTTTGAAACACCACATATATGTACTGTACTATAATACTCTAAAATTATTAAGAACAAAAAATGAGACTCCTACTAAATTGTCTTTCTTAATTTATTCACAATGTCATGAAATGTTACGTGTTGATTTTTAATTTGTTACAAATTTAAATATAAATTTTTATATAATTGATTTTGTGACAAATCAAATCTTACAGGTACCATACCGTGCTTTTGTAATCACAAATTCACAATACTACTTAAATAATGGCCTTCAATATTCTCCTATTTAAATTGAGATGGAGTGCACCTCTTTGATATTGCTCCCCACTACTCGATTGAACATTAATTATTGTTGATTTTGTTGCTATTCTTCTACAAAAATACCAGAGAATTTAAAAGTTTTATCAAAAAATTTACCAAATGTTTCATATGAATGTGAGACTTACATGGTGTGGATCTCACACTTATGTGAGACATTTGATAAAACTTTTAAAATCTCTAATGCTGTGTTTGGTTAGGAGATTTGAAGAGAGATTTGGAAAGGAAAATAGAAAAGATAGGTAAAATGTGAATAGGATACACCTATATTTCACCTACTTTCGCATATATTTTTCCTTTCTCTTTCTAAATTCTTTCTCAAATTCTACAATCAAACACAGTGTAAAGTTACTCATTCTCCTAATATCCCTAATTTAACTTCTTTTGTGGGATCCCATTCCAATATGATATGCTTTGATATCTTAGAAAAAAAAAAAAATGTAAGTTTGGCCTTTACGAGGGCAGAGTTGTTGGCCAGCATTCTCATTCAGGGACACATTTTTCTTTTTCAATGAAGGCCACAAAACATGATCAAATGTTTCAAAAAGAGTAATCTTATAATTATTTACTTGTATGTTTTTATGCCAAAAAGGTATTAAATTCACATGAATAAAAATAGATAAACTTATGATTTTATATTTAGTGATAAGAAAGTCAAATAAAAAATTTATTTATATATAACATTTTTGTACAAAAAATATTGCCAGCATAACAAATTGGAGGACTCTTTCCTCAAAAAAATAAAAAATAAAAATAAAAAAAAAAAGGAAAATGTTGTTTGAATAGTTGAATAGTGTTTTCCCAAAAGAGAAGGAAAAGTTTGTGAATAGAGGGAACTGAGAAAATGGCTAGCAACAGCAGTTGCTTTGGAAATGTGGAACTGTACAGCAGCATTTTGTGAAACATGGGAAGTGGAGGTTATTTAGTTTGTGAATTAGTAATTTATCATGTCACACCCTTAATTACAAACTGATATAAGTGTGAAAATAGTATAATTATTTACAAAGTTAAGGCCATTTCAGAAAAAATGACAAAAAATTTTTAAGGCAATGACTTCAGGACTCCAAGAAAGTTGTTCCCTTTTAATAATAGACTAGACTAGAGATGGGGCACACGCAATGCGTGTGCAACTCAAAAAAAAATTATAACATAAAAATAATGGTTGCTCTTTAATTATTCAATCGAAATAATATTGTGATAAAGATTATACTTCGGCGTACAATGTGGGAGGGAGAAATATGACACATGGTGGGAAAGGGCCGTCTGATTTCATCCAAAGACGTTGCGCAAAAGTTAGCCGAATTTCTTCAAAATTAATAAAGGACTTGCTGGGAGAAGCAATATGTGGTCGTACAGAGCGTGACGAAGAAGATGTGGCGAAATTGCTGTGTCTTTATGTGTGCGCCAAGTTATTTTTCGCAACGACCGGCGAGCATATAGGTTGGGCATTTGTCCGTGTGATCGACAAACTGGACACATTGCAACAGTATGACTGGAGTGCAACAATAAGGAACACATTGATTGGGTCACTGAATGAGATGCACAATAAGCCAGAGAAGGTCACTGGTTGCGTAGTAGCATTGCTGGTACGTATGTTTGTTGGTTGTTTGGTGGTTCAAATTCAGCTTTAAAACATATAATCCATTTCAGTGTTTATGTAATGGATGTTTCATGGTGTAATTTCAGTTTCTTATTTGTGAGCATTCCAACATCATCGCTCCAGAACAGCCTGACGTGACACCACGATTTTGTCGATGGAACATTGCATCCGCTGTGGGTAAACTAAGAGCAATAAATTTGTCGTCAGAAGGTTGCTTTGAGGTATGGAATTAGAACCCTTTTAATTGTTTTTAAAAAATTTCCAACACCAAACATTGAAATTGTGCTACGTTTTGATGGTAATTTTGCTTAGGTCCACTGTGCCAAACTTGTTGGGACGATTAATGAATGTCATATTCTGAAGGTGCCTGCTGCTGCTATTGAAACAAAAGAATGTGGTAGAATTAGGATGGATGTGGAACCACCTGGAGTGTGCGATGAACGCAGGGCTGTGATTGAGACAGATGATGTTGGCAGCGTGGAGCCAAGCTTCAATTGTTGGCAGCCGGCGAAAAAAACCAAGGGTGACATGCAAATGGAGGGGGGCAATGACTATGATAATAAAAATACTGGAACACCAACCAGCAAGGAAAAAGTAGCTGGGAAGCTGGTGTCACGTGGAGATGTTTTGCCGGTATTGTTCCCATATCTTCTGGAACTGGCCGGCACTCCAGATGGTGAAGACGTGGGTGAGGAACAAAGAGGGGTGCACAATGAGCTGATAACTTGTAAAGTCAGAATTACTGAATTAGAGAGCGAGATCAATATGAAAGACGTACAAATATGTGAACTGGAACAGCGTGTGGAAACACTGGAAAAACTGCTCGGGCGGCATGCTGGTAATTTGTTTGCAAACTTAAATACTGTGATTGTGGATAAGGAATCTGAAATTGCCCGGCTCAAAAAGCAGGTTGATCGATTGGAGAAAAAAATAAGCAATTTGGAAGATAGTCTTGATGACCTCGAGGTGCACGAGGTGACACAATTTGCTGTGAATGATGGATCCAATCAGCGAACACCAAGTAATAGTGTGTCAGGGAAAGTGAGTGGGTCTGCCAATGTGACGAGTTGCGAAAGTGCGCAGCAGTTTGCATGTCCTACAGGGCAACCCGAAGACGTGCGGATCAACGAATTACAACTTGTTGACAATGACCCTGGGATTGAAGATTTGACCGATGACTTTGCAGATGGGATTGTGCATACAACTGTAGCAATGGGTGAGGGTAGCTGCAGCCCCATAAATGCACAGACAGTAGCTGCTGGCAATGTAAAAGATGGCGCAGCTGTCGTTGTTGTAGAAGGTCATTGCGAACACACAGCAGGTGCAACAAGTTCTGGGCCGAAAATTACGTCACTTGTGAAAAGGGTGAAGAACAAGGCAAGACGGGAATTTAGGTTATCAGACTACGAATATCCCGGCATATTCGGGCGTACACAGGTAAACACCAATGTCAGACTTGGTAAATCAGTTGAACCAGGGGTGATTTACAGTGTTGAGGACGTCGAGGTGGAGCGTAAAACCTGGAATGGCTTCGGTCTGAATAGGCGGCACACTGTGTGGAACATGCTGAAGGATGAAGACCGGGAACTACTACAAAGAATGTACACTTTAGAGGGGGACGGGTAGGTTGTTCGGATGGACTGTTGTATGGTTTGACATGTACAACTTGCGAAACTATCCTCCACGGTGGTTCTGAATTTCGATTTATGGTTTGCAGGTTAATAGTATGGGATGGTGGACACAATGGAATACAAGTTCATTTCACGGACATCAAAGATTTGGTGCAGCAGAACTCCATACACGGCAATGTAAGCTGGTTTCGTGTAACGAATCGTAGAGTATTTATTGATTCTTTAATTATTTTAAAAAAACATATGCAAATCTGACCATTGCTTCCTTTGTGAATTGAGTGATGTGGCAGTCGGAAAGGGCAAATGAATTTTAAAACACAGTGAACAAAATGTAAATGGAAATGTAAATTTACAAAGTTCTTATTAC